GATTTAGCTAAGGTTGGCATATACCACTTCCATATCATTTTGACTGTCAGTTTCTACAGCTCTTTTAACACTTTCTAAAACATCATAATGAGTGCTTTCACATGCTACCTCAATACTACCATTAACTGCAACATATTCTAAAAATGAATCATCATAATTTCTATCATTGATGTATGAAATATTAGAAATATCTTGCGATTTTTCTGTGGCTTAATAAACACCACATTTTCTAAAGCAATTTCTGTGTTTTTATAGACTGCTTCCCATGCACTGACCACAATATGCGTACATTCTAGCAAAGATATTGACTTAGTTGCATTCTTCGAAGTGCTTACATTTACACAAGGTTTAAATTTGTATACCTTTTTATGAATGACATCTCTTCCGTAATGGAATTTAAAAGCTTTTGTAATACCTTGGTGTAATAGGCTGAATGATTGAAATTGTATTTGCAGCAAGTAATGTAAGAATCAGGATTCAGAATGATATAAGAGGAGTGTTCAGCACATTCCAACAGTAAAGCAATTTTTTTTTTTTTTTTCATTTTTCAGTTCTTTGTCGCATTCCAAAAGGAAATCAGTAAAAATACTACTAGTTATCCATGAGTTTTACTATTATGGCAAGTTAAAGGTTAAATCTGGACTCCTTTTAAATATTGTGGCTTTCTACTTTTTCCAATAAACAATGGCATCTTAATTCTAGCATCGATATTGCACATTAATAACAAAATAATTCTTTAATTTCTTAAAACCGGCTGCTGTCTCACTTTTAAGCATTAATGATGCTCTGGTAAAATGCTGCAGAAAACAGACCATTTTCATCTATGTTATAAATTTCATGTGGCTTGTATTTTTTCAGAAGCTTGGAAAAACATCTTTTATTCAGTCCTCAACTGAATGATGATCTGCCTCCTGCTTCTAACCATGTAGTTTTTAATAATCAATTTTATTTCTGTCTCTCCATCTTTTCAGCTATCCATTCAATTGGCACAAAACTTTCTCCTAGCTTTTTAGCAAATTCTATAGCTTTGGTGATCAAAAGAACTTAATAAACTGGAAAATTTTTTAGTCTCATTGCTTGAAACCATTCTAGAAGAGCAGTTTCAACATCTCTCAATTTTCCATCCTTTTTGCGTTTCCATGACACGTTTGTATTTTTTGCCAGTTTTTTTACCAATTTTATATCTTTATTTAAATAAACTGCATATTGTTACTCGAGAAATTCCCATTTTAAATGCTGTTTCTCTTTGGCTGCATTTACTAAATGTATCATAATCTTTCAGCCTTAAATCCTTTTGTTCAGGCATTTTTGGTACGTTACAAGTCATACACTCAGCAAATACATGTTTCTTCCATTGATTTATTCAAATCCAAAATTCTCGCTTCTAGCCACCAGGAAGATTGCACTTTACCTGCCAAACTGATCTCTCACTTCATGATTATCATAGACAAAATTTAACACTTTCTTTTCTTTTTTCTTCAGCGTACAAACACCACTCCCCTTTTCCAATCAAAGACTCAATGTACAATAATCCAAGGAAACATTTCATTTTTTTTTTTGACCCTGCAAACTTAACCCCTTAACTGCCACGGGCGTATATATACGCCTTGCTCAGCCGATGCGTTAACTGCCCCGGGCGTATATATACGCCCTTACAAAATACTATCAGTTGCTTTGCGCTGCTACCCGTTAAATTATTCGCAAACTTTTGGAATGCAACACCAGAATGACCTTGACGAAGTATGTGAAGGAGGATATTATTTCAGAGAAGTGTGGGGAGAAATTGAAGAGAGGGACGTGTCTAAATGCTGAAAGTAATGACTGCGTGGTAGTGGCTAGTGTTGTTTGAGTAAAATGTATTTTTTTTTTTTATTCTGTGTCCTCCGTTTTCGTTTACTTTTTGTAGTAGGTTCCAGGAATAAAGAAAGATATAACGGATGTTTTAAACCCATTTATCTTTTTTGAATTATTTTTTGATGAACTGCTCGTGCTTTATAGTGCTACTGAAACTAACCGTTTTGTAGACGAGTATATGAACCAACAACACCTTGCAAACGAAAAATCAAGAACAATAGTGGCATTCAACCAATTCAAAGAAATATATGTTTTTATAGGCATACTGATTTCACAAGGTATATAACACTGAAACATGATATTACACTTACTGGTCTAAAAATGAATTGATCGAAAACCCATTATAGGGACCTTTTTATTATAAAAAAACATCCTTTTTATTATACACATCTTTTTATTATATTTTTACTCAAAATATTAAATTTTGTGTATTCATTTTTTTTTCTTTTACTGTTTATTTTGTGAAAGTAAACAGTTTTTAGAAAGTAAAACTTACTCTTATTTTCCCCCTAATAAATCGCATAACTACGCGCGGATATGTGAAAAACCGTGGCACTGGGGAATGAATCTTGTACGTTTTCCGCGGCAGTTAAGGGGTTAATGTGTGTAAGCACTTCCATTCCCTATCAGGGTGTTCAAGAAAGGGAACCAGTGCTCACTTAAGCATCACCTTTTCTTTAATCTGCCAAAGACGCGCGCTGCTTTTTGCTACGCGAGGATGCGCGTCAGACTCCGTAGGCCCAAAGCGTTTTTCTTAACAAAACAAAAATAAAACTGCTTGTGTAATTGAAGAAAAACATTTAAATAATAAAAAAGAGTGTATAAAAATATACTTTTAATTTAATAAGTCTAATAAAATTGTATTTTAAAACAATTTTAAGACTGAAATTATTTATCATTAACAACAAAAATTAAACTGATTTCTTTTTGAGCGCAAATGAAATTTAGTACTCATTTATGCAATAGTAAATTTTTACAGCAATAATTTCAAAATAAAACTTACATTTCAAATTTTTTTGCAAATAATCGTGCTGTGTTTACCACAATAATTTTTCTTGCACATAGCGCTGCAAATTTGTGATTTTCGGTCCGTTACGCCAAGACTGTAAACTTTTTTGCAATTTTCAACAAACTTTTTAAAGGCATATCTTATTGGAGCCAGTTTATTTATTTCCCTTCTAGAAAAGCAATCTCTTATGTCATCAAATCTCAAACATCTCATTAGAAATAAAAAACGTTTGTTAGACATTGTTCGATGAAAAATGTCAAGCACTGTTCTGTCAGTCACCCAAAGGTCGAGAACATTTACATGAGAAGCCTTGTGGAGTCCTCCAAAATAAAGAAGACCGATAAATTCTCTCATTTCTGTAATATTTATGGATCGAGCATCTCTCTATCTTCCAAATTTGACGGAAATGGATCCGATATAAATGTTTGCACAATCTACTAGAATTTTTACTATTATTTTATCCATAAGCAAGTGTCAAGAATTCATAGGGGAGGACACAAATTTTGCTTCACAAACATTTCCGAGTAATTTTTTTCACAATGTTGTGAGCAAGAGTTCTCACATCAAGTCTTGGTTTGTTTTATTCCATTTTATCACATTATATTTGCAAAGATAACAATTCGTTGACGGACGCAAAATTACTTAATTCATTACTAGATTCATCGCTTGAGTCTAATGCCTCTTCAGAATTCGATTGGTGATCACTAAACTGTTCTTCACCAACTATTTCTTCGTCCTCTTCATTAATTGTATCTTGATCAGTCGACATTTCCGCTAATAGTTTCTGTCATTTCATCGTCATAACTCAAATAGCAAGACCTTTTTTGCAATTGCCTAATCTCTTTCACAATTTTAAATGACAATGCGAGTGCGCGCCTCGGGCCTGGGAAGCCCAGTTACTCAGTTTCTGAGAAAAGATAAAGGGTTAAATTCCGAAAATGCTTGTGAATGACAAGTACATGATTTTAAACACAGCTACTGAGAAGGTCGAAAAATTTCACCAAAGGGAGAAATTTTTGTATTACGTTTTTGTAACGATCGGGCCTCGCGTGTTTTCGCGGGTTAATCCTGGGAAATACTCACTAATTTACATTTAAGGAACTCATTTCAAATGCCTCTACAGTATTGCTTTGGTTAATCATAAGATATTCTGTCACTCTCATCTCTAGTCCAAACGAAGGGATTTACAAACAGTGTCTGGCAAGGACTGATTTGTTCAAATCCAAAATTCCCGCTTCAAGCCATCTCACTTCATGATTATCATAGGCATAATTACCGCTTTCTTTCTTTTTTCCTCAGCCTACAAAGACCACACCCTTTTTCCAATGGACGACTCAATGTACAATAATCCAAGGAAACACTTCATGATGTTTTTGTACAGCACCCTGCAAACTCAATGTGCATATATGCACTTCCATTCCTTATTGGATGGTGTTCGAGAAAGGGAACCAGTGCTCACTTAAGCATCATATTTTCTTGAATCCTGGGAAACACTCATTTACATTTAAAGAACTTGTTTCAAATGCCTCTAGAGAACTGCTTTTGTTAATAATAAGATACAGGTATTCTGTTAGTCCAAACAGAGGGATTTACAAACAGTGCCAGGCAAGGACTAGGGAAGGGTACCTAATACCTCCAGGGTATCTTGGTTCTAACTACACTGACTAGAATTTTTACTGGTCAGTGTAGTTAAAACCAAGATACCCTGGACATAATATAATAATATTACTACACCTTTAATATAATAAATATTACTACACCTTTTATATTGAAGCCCTACATAACTGACATATAAATGAATGAACTACAAACATCTTTTATCTAGAATCAGTCTTTTGCCTGTTTGAATTTTGTAAGCGGCAGAGATGAGTTTAATTAATGGTGATACTTCTATTGATTAGTATAGATTTACTTTCATTCCTGAAAATTTGAACGTTATAAGTGGCTGAATTTATTAAAAAGTGAGTTTAATAAGCAGTGGATACTGCATTAGCAAGCACAGTATTTAAAATAAACAAATTTCTGTATTAATTTATCCTTGTTTACTCATTCTTTATAAATGCAACTGATAAGTTAGAAGGTAATTCAATTCAAAGTAAAAAAGAATCAATATTAATTAAAAACCCATCTAACTTACATGGACTTTATTTGCAATAATATCAAGTTGAGAAGCGAGAACACTTTGTCCAATTTTGTTCAGCACAACTTGGGCAAGAGGAAATAAATCCCGTGTATAAGATCTGCCATCTCGTGACACAGCAGAACAAAACAGTTCACTACATTCATCATCACAAGCACCCAAGTTCTGATAGATGCGACAAATGTCACATACAAGTTCTTGGGGTTTAAATTCATATTCTTTGAGATCTTTTACTTTGAAATTTTTCTTCTGGGGTCCAACCTGAAATAGTAATAAAATCTATACATGAAACTAATATTTTTCCTCTCAAAATTACTGACTACTAACTTGTGATAGAATATAACTGATCCCATATTATAAATTAACTAAAATTTTAAATAATGCACAATACAAAATAAGAGTCTTCCTCTATTGCATATCCATAGAATTCTAAGAACAACATTTTCAAGCTCATTCACACAAAAAAGTATTCATAAAGTCTTCAACACTTCATTTGTTAAGAGCAATAAAATTTTAAAAGATAAATTCACTACAATATTATCTGTTTGGTCTCCCTTCTGCTGGTAAATATTACTTTTATAATACTGATGCATGCGTATGGGTTCGTTTGAATTGAATGCACAAGTCCGATAAAAAATGAACAAAATTTATTATTATCACAATAAAAATGCTTAATTTTCCTCAGATATTCGTTCAGTATTACAATATCTCACAGTAGTTATCTTTTAACTACTCAAACGTTCAAGAGAACTTAATTCAAAACAGCTAGAGAAAGTTAATCTGCGAATTCGCTAGTCAACATAAGAAACAAACTCTTAAAACAACAACAAATGAACTAAAATAACTGAATTGAGAGGTTTTCCTTCTTTTTACAAGATTTTAAAATGCGCGAGAATTTTCTAGTACTTTCTCGAAATCAAAAAGAGATATTTATTTATTAAAGGTTAAATGCACGCGCTTTTGTATTTTTCCGGCTTAGCTTTCTTTTGATATTCGTCATGCGCTGCACTGCACGGGAAATAAAAAAATTTTATTTATAATTCAACTAACATTAGCTATTGAAATACCAAATCTGTAACACTACACATAATTAAAATGAACTATATAGATGCATAATATTAATACAATTGTAACTACAATCTCTGAAAGAAGGTACTCTTTATCCCCACCACCACCACCACACACCCAAAAAAAAAAAAAAAAAAAAAATATAATAATAAAAATCCTACAGTTCTTTTGTTATAATTAGCTGTCAAAAATATGCAATCATTTAGACAACAGAGTTCTTTTCATATCAGCAATATAAAAAACAGTGAAATCCCTAAATAACCCTTTTAAATTCAATTACTGAATTTATTACAATAGACTTCTATTCCTAATACTGATTACGAAATAAACTCTGCCCTTCCATTTCACACTCTTTGGTAAGCAACTCCCATGCTCTAGCACAGCTTGAACTTACTGCAAATACTTTTTGAATCTGCCACAAGGGATCAGCATGAAGGATTCAAAATTTGTTTATACTGCATAAAAGTTTCAATTTAAATTAACAAGTTTGTATCCATTTTAATTTATTACATTCAGTTTTATTGCAGTTTTTCTGGTTCTCAACTAAAGACCAAACGATGTGGAAGATGGCAATGCAAAAATTATTATGTATACTTAAAAAGATATGAAGTTACTGATCTGTTCAGACATTTGCTGGGATTTAAAAAAAAAAAAATTCAGAGCTGAGTGCTGTTTATTAACAGAAACCCTTCAAAGGTGCCAGAAAAATATAATTAATTTCTAAGAGGTAATTATCAGGTAAGCAAACGTTTTTACAGAGATTTAAAGCTGGATTCTGGTTAAGAATATTCACACAAACAACTACATACACTACATTTAAAGGGATAAAAGCAGAGAATTCCAATATATTAGTGAATATGGTGAGAAGTATAATATTTGCACGCAAGCTGTAAGCAGTTTGTGGATGAATTTTCAGAATAAATGGCAAATACAAATTTATCTCCAGAAAATGTACAAAGGCTGACTGAAAAGTTTCATGACTGCCTCTATTTCTCTTTCTTGACATTAGATGTAACCAGTAATGAGTTTGGTGAAGGGTATATCAATAGCTGAATAGCCATGACCTTCAGTATTTTGTCATGAGTAACATTTGGTGCATTTTGTCACAGCAAATGAGGAAGACTTTTCCCTGATTACTGGAGAGATGTGATTTAATTTCACATTAAAAGAAAAAAATCAAAGGCCATAAAGAAGCACTTGGACAAATGTTACAATATGCATATGGTGATGATTCACTTACCCATACTTCAGTAATTTAATAATAGAGGGATTTCAAAAGCAGTAACATAAAAGTGATTGACAAAGCATGTTCTATGATAATGGCAAAGCACATCCATTGTAGTAATACATGGAAACTTCACACATTCATGGGAAGACGGTGAAAAATGACTATTACATAAAACTCCTAAAAGCATTTGAACTATGAATGAGAAAATACTTGAAACCTCACACAATGGTTTTCATTCTCTTACACTGCTGTGTAAACACTCAAATATTCTGTATGCAGCACAGGTTTAACCCCTTAACCCTTTGTGGTGCACTACATTTTAAAGTCAGAATTTCAACAAAAAAAGTTGTATGCAGTCTATTTAGGCCTACACATGTAAAATTTGGTAAAAATTGCACTCACGTTTTAATTTTGTGGGTGTTCTATGAGGTGGAACACTGCGCCACCAGAGCTCTTAAAAGTGTAACTAAGCGAGCATTGCAGTGAAGCACGAAAATGAGTAGAAGCTTTTGTATAGTAATGAAAAACACTGTATTATGGCTGCATACGTGGTTTTCTGGATATGCACAATATTTTTGAATATATATGGATAAATGAGATGAATATATGTTATAAGTCCTATATACAAAAATATTTACAAATTTTTCGATTTCTTAGCTTTGTGAAGTTGCTCAAAGCACGTCACACCTTTTTGATAAAAGCACAAACTTTGCAGGTTTTGTACACAAAACTTGTTTTGTGAGGCCGGCTTCTGTTCCATGGTACAATATGTTTAGAATCCAAGTAGGAACTTGAGGCTGCATAGACAGGCCTGGCTGAGATGGATCATCAACCTCCTCATCAGATAAATAAGTTTAATCTGACACATCATCATCAGATTGCACATGTGGTTCAGCAGCGTATATCTCAGTATCGCTGCTATCCTCATGCTATGATTCAGAATTCGAGGGTAATTCATGAAGCACTTTTAACACTTCGGAAAGAGTTAGACATCTCCCCGTCATTTACAGAAAATTAATAATAAAAAATTAATTACAATTAACATTAACAATAAAGAAAAATAAGCTATAAGATATACATACACAAAAAATATCTACACAATTATTGAAAATAAATGGGAATGAGACTAAAAAGCGACAGCAAAAAATTCGTGCAGCTCTAAATAAGGATGTCTCAAGCATGGAAACTACTCACAAAAATTTCAAGATGCCCATATTAGGACTTTCATAGCACAAACCACACCTCACCCCTCAATACTGCTTTGTTTAATTTATTCCCCCCAAAAACAACAGAAACAGAAAACGCATACAACAGATGTTTTCTCCTAAGAATGGGTGTTTTAATGCATAATAGCATGAGATCGCTAAAGGCGCAGTATTTCCGCTGGTGGAACACCCTGTTTCATTCAACGATTCTGTGCATGCTTTTTGTATGAAAAATTCAAAAAATATAGAACAAATAATACAGAAATGTTTTTTCAAACAATTCTTTTTTGTATCAAAAAAAAAAAAAAAAATTACATGACAATAAGTGGATTTTAATAACACATCATAAGTGAAAATTCTGGGTCTCCTTGTGATATGCTGTCATCTACTATTTTTTTAAAAAAGTTCAAAGTATATTTATAAAGGCAGTTTTATCCAATTACAGTTGAATTTAATGGTTTCAGAAGAGATTCAGTTGGGTGCTCCATGTAGTCGAACACTGAGCAATAAATCATTAACTGCCATGAGGTACATATACGGCTTGCTCAGCCGATGCAATAACTGTCCCGGGCACATATATGCCCTTCCAAAATACTATCATTTGCTTTGCGCTGCTACAAGTAAAATTATTCGCAAAGCTTTGGAATGCAACACTACAATGACCTTGACAGAGTATGCGAAGGAGGATACTATTTCAGAGAAGGGGGAGGAATTGGAGAGGGGGATGTTTCAGAAACTGTGAAAGTAATGACTACGTGGTTATTGCTTGTGTTTCTGTTTAAATAAAACATATTTTTTTAATTCTGTGTCTTTCATTTTCGTTTACTGTTTGTAGTAGGTGCTTTTTTTTTACGAATATGTCCAATAATGGTACAGATGATTACTTTCCGTCATCTTCAGGATCGGACACCCAAGAATATGATATTACATCAGATGAAGAGGATTGCAACTATTCTCTGAAAGATGCTCGATGTTGGGTACGACTTGATATGAAAAGCTTGCCTATGGCATCCAACCAATCCCAGAGAAATATATGTTTTTTTAGGTATACATATTTACAAGGTACAACACTAAGGCCTTTACTAGTCTAAAAATAAATTGATTGAAACTCCTTTTTTTGAGATCTTTATTATTATACTTCCAAATTTTTATATTATATTTTTACTCTAAACATTAAATTTTGTATTTTGATTTTTTCTTTTTTATTTTGTGAAAGTGAACTGTTTTTAGACAGCAAAACTTGCACTTATTTCTCCCCTAATACATCACATAACTACGTGTGCTTGTGTAAAAAATGGTGGCACTGAATCTTGTACGTTTTGTGTGGCAGTTAAGGAGTTAATGATAAAATTTTCTGGGTGATTTCAACATTAAAAAGGCAATTACACAGGATGAGGTTTCCTCCAGTTGAGGAAGTGAAAATGCCACTCTCACAGTGCAAAATATGATGTCATAAAACAACTTATTTCATGTTTTTGAATTCCTTAGAAAGTGCTGAGAAAAGTTATTTGAATTAGGAGACAAAATGCAGGGCAATAGAATCGGTCAAAACTTTTGAATTGGGGTACATATATTTTCAAATGCTCAATACTTTTTCTTTACAAACTTAAAGTTGCTTTAAAATAATTTTACTAATTTACAATAATGTTTCACATAAATGCAAGCATTCTTTTGCTGTAAAAAAAAAATATATATATATAACAAAATCTTAAGACAATGTATGACTAACTTTCAAAGGGACGTTATATCTAATTTTCTAA